GGTGCCTAGATACCTTTGTATTTATTCTTGTCATACACTCTTAGGCCAGTTAGTCTCTTCATATATGATATCACTTTTCCCCCCTTTCTAACAAGTATGTTCAAAAGAACATTGTACATTTTAACATAAAAAATTAATTAATTAATAAATGGAAGAAGAAATAAATAAAAATAAATAAATAATATTGAGCCATTTTGAAAATATATAAAATTTTTTTCCTAGTGTATAATTTTTCTGTAGTGTATTTTCACAGTAGGTATCAAAAGCCTAAGAAAACATGTATGTCTTTTCACCAAATTTTGACCTCTTGAAATTTATCCTAAGGAAATAATCAAACATGTTAATTTTAGCTGGACTGTAATAAGAAAAGTCTGGAAATGACCTAAGTCAATAGCAATAGGGTATTGTTAAATAAACATGTCTTAACTATGTAACACAGTGTTAGTTATATATAACCATTAGTTTTCCTTCTCCCTTTTTTAAAAATAAAACATATGTATATAGAGAGGAAAGTTTCCAGAAATATATGCATTAAAGTATTAGCAGTCAGCTATGTGACTGATGCTCTTATTTTCTTTTTGTTCTTTAGATCTCTTGAATGTTTCTGTAATGAACATCTGTTTCTTTTTCTTTTTTTAAAAATTGGAAAACAGAATAAAAGGTACTATTTTGGCACACACAAAAAACTAAAGAATAATACAGCTAATTTATTTCATATTCAGTTCTAAGCTTCGTTGAACTTTTATATTTGAAACTCTGTTGGCGTTAGAAGTAGTTATAACTATCAGAATTAAAGGAGGAACAGTATTATAATGAAAGGATCCTGGGTTATAATACCAAGTTGCTACTATCAACTCTGAAAATAACTAGCTCTTTAAACTTTGTTAAGTGATATAACTTCTTGGAGCCTTAGTTTCTTCATAAATTGGAATCACTGATCTCTAATCATATTGAACGGGAAAGAGGCAGATGATTGATATAGAAAAAAGTAATACAAATTCAGAGCCTGATGTGGTGACAAGAAGCAATATCTTTTTCAGTATACGTCATCTTCTTTACATGGATGATGGAAAATCTTACCGTCAAAAGATCAAGTTTTCAGTGAGAAATGTGTACAGGGTTTTAAAATATAAAACAGAACAGTGAATGTTATTACTAAGCATATAATTCTGTTCCATTAAAGACTAAGAATGTGGAGACTACCTGTTGTGAAAACAAGACACATTAGTGATCAATGCCTAAGAGGCAATTTTAAAGTACTCTGTATGGTTCCAGACAAAATGAAGGAAACACATTTCTCCTTATTCTTCCTACTAAGTACAATTAAAAGCCCTAGACAATATGTAAAAAACAAATATAAGAAAATTTTGAGAGGTGGAGAAAAGAAAGTAGACTACACCTAGAGACCTCAAAACCAGAGGAAGAACATGGCAATGAGTTCACTGGGTTTTCTTTTTGCTGCATATATCTCAGACTAGGTACTGGAAAAGTCAGCAATCAGGAGAAACCAATGGACTCAAACCAAAAAAGCCCCAAGAAAAGCCAAAAGGACCAGAAAGGGTGAAGCATGAATGCCACGTGGAGAACCTTCAACTTCAACCTATTGGTAATGAGACAACCCTCCCCATCCCTGCTGGGATGGTGTCAGCAGAGAGCCTAAACTTTCATCTTCACCCAGCAGTAATGAGACACCCCTTTCTTCTGCCCTCCAAAAGTCAGTGGAGGTCAAATGTCCAGGTCACCCTGGACATCCAAACCCATCTGGAAATAACGAGGCAGTGTCCTTCTTTCCTCAGTGGCATGATGCTGGCATGGTGTCAGAGGAGGTCTGCTGATGCAGAAGATTTACATAAGATTCAGAGTTCCATAACATAATACAGTACAATTGAAGATCATTTGTTAAACTAAGAACCAGGAAAATCTCTTGAATGAACAGAGACCATCAACAGGTGCCAAAACCAAAGCACACAAAAGTTGAATTACCTGACAAGGAATTTAAAGCAGCTATCATAAAAAAATTCTCATTGAGCAATTACAAACACACTTGAAACAAATGAAAAATAGGAACTCTTAACAGAGATTTAGAAGATAAAAAGAAGAAGCAAATGGAAATTTTAGAACTGAAAAATTCCAATAATGAAAATAAAAACCTCAATAGATGGGCTTCCCTGGTGGCGCAGTGGTTAAGAATCCACCTGCCAATGCAGGGGACATGGGTTTGATCCCTGGTCCAGGAAGATCCCACATGCTGCGGAGCAACTGAGCCTGTGCGCCCCAACTACTGAGCCTGCGCTCTAGAGCCCACGAGCCACAACTACTGAAGCCCACATGCCTAGAGCCTGGGCTCCACAACAAGAAAAGCCATTGCAGTGAGAAGCCCGCAGATTGCAGTGAAGAGTAGCCCCCGCTTGCCTCAATTAGAGAAAGCCCGCACACAGCAACGAAGACCCAATGCAGCCAAAAAATAAACAAATTAATTAAAATAAATAAATTTTTAAAAACCCAGAAACTCAGTAGATGGACTCAACAGTAGACTGGAATGATCAGAGGAAAGAATCAGTGAACTTGAAGACAGGACAATTTAGAAATGAACTAATTTGAACAAGAAAATAGACTGGAAAAAAATGAACAGAGCCTCAGAGACCTATGGGACCGTAACAAGAAGTCTAATTCATATAATCAGAACCCCAAAAGGAGAGAAAGAGAGTGAGGCTGGAAAAAGTATTTGAAAAAAATACTTTTTGAAGGAATGTCAAAAACTTCCCAAATTTGGCAAAACCTACAGAAATCAAGAAGCTGAGCTAATGTCAAATAGGGTAAACCCAGATAAACCAATGCCAAGATACATCATAATCAAACTTCTGGAGAATAAAGATAAAGAAAAAAATCTTGAAAGCAGTCAGAGAAAAATGATACCTATAGGGGAAGACCAGTTTGAACGACAGTGGGTTTCTCATCAGAAACCATGGTGCTGAAAGAATAGAATGGTCAACCCAGAATTCTATAGCCAGCAAAAATATCTTTCAGGAAAGAAAGGGAAAGCAAAACATTCTCAGATGAAGGAAAACTAACAGAATTTGTTACCTGTGGACCTACTGTTAAAAAAAAAAATGGCTAAATGAAGTTCTTGAAATAGAAGGAAATGATAAAAGAAGAAATGTTGGGACATCAGGAAGAGAGAAAAGGCAATTAAAAGTAAAAATATGAATAAATATAATAAACTTCCTCTCTCATGTTGAGTGTTCTAAATTATGTTTGATAGCCGAAGCAAAAATAATAATATGGTCTTATGGTTCTCAATGTATGTAGAGGAAATATTTATGACAGTTGTAAATGGGAAAAGTAAAGGGACTTAAATTGAGGTAAAATTTCTACACTTGATTCAAACTGGTAAAATGTCCACACTAGTAGACTGTAATAAGTTATGAATGTATAATGTAATAACCCAGAACAACCACTAAAAATCTGTACACAGAGATACATTCAAAAATACTATAAATAAGTAAAAATGGAATTCTAAGAATATTTAAGTTACCCACAGGAAGGCAGAAAAGAAAACAGAAATGGAAAACAGAGTGAACAAACAGCAAATGATAAAATGGCAGATTTAAGACCTATCATATCAATAATAACACATATATGCAATAGAATATTACTCAGCCATAAAAAGAAACGAAATTGAGTTATTTGTAATGAGGTGGATGGACCTAAAGTCTGTCATACAGAGTGAAGTAAGTCAGAAAGAAAAACAAATACCATATGCTAACACATATATATGGAATCTAAAAAAAAAAAATGGTTCTCAAGAACCTAGGGGCAGGACAGGAATAGAGACACAGACGTAGAGAATGGACTTAAGGACATGGGGTGGGGGAAGGGTAAGCTGGGACAAAGTAAGAGAGTAGCACTGACATATATACACTACCAAATGTAAAATAGATAGCTAGTGGGAAGCAGCTGCATGGCACAGGGAGATCAGCTCAGTGCTTTGTGACCACCTAGAGGGGTGGGATAAGGAGGGTGGGAGGGAGATGCAAGAAAGAGGGAGGGGATATGCGGATATATGTATGCACATAGCTGATTCACTTTGTTATATAGCAGAAACTAACACAACGCTGTAAAGCAATTATACTCCAATAAAGATGTTTAAAAAATTACATTAAAGGTAAATGATCTAAATACAACTATTTAAAGACAGAGATGGGTTAGAATAGATTAAAAAAGCACAACCCAATTGTTTTCTACAAGGAACTCACTTCAAACAAACAGTATAGGTAGATTGAAAATACAAGGGTAGGAAAAGATACACCATGCAAATATTAATCAAAAGAAAGTAAGAGTGGCTATATTAATATCAGGTAATGTAGGTATGAGAGCAAAGAAAATTACCAGAATAGTATATACTAATAAAAGTATTAATCCACCAAGAAGACATAGCAATCCTAAATGTACATGTACTAACCAACAGTGCCACAGTATATGTGAAGCAAAAACTGACAGAACGGAAAGGAGAAACAGACAAACCCAAAAAGAGTTGGAAGACTTCAGCACCCCTCTCTCTCAGCAATTGAGAACCAGACAGAAATCGTTAAGGATATAGAACTCAACACCACCATCAACTAACAGGATCTAACCAACATTTATAGAACATTCCACCCAACAACAGCAGAATACCCAATGGATTGAATCAATGGATTCAAACTGGAAATCAACAAAAAGATAAGGAAATTTCCAATATTTGGAAAGTAAGCAGCACACTTCTAAATAATCTATGGGTCAAAGAGGAAGCCTTGAGGAAACACTGAACTCAGTGACAACAAAAATGCAACGTATCAAACCTTGTGTGGTGCAGCTAAAGCAGCACTAAGAGGGAAATGTGTACCACTACACACATTATAAAAGAGGAAAAATCTAAACCATAACCAAGCTCCCACCTTCTGAAACTAGGAAAGGAAGAGCACAATAACCCCAACTCAAGCAGAAGGAAGAAAACAATAAAGAAAAGAACAAAAATCAATGAAATTGAAAACATAAAAACAATAGAGAAAATTAGTGAAATAAAAAGCTAGTTCTTTCAAAAGATCAGTAAAACTACAGACCTTCATAATTTCCTTGGAGTATTAAACATTCAATGTTAGCACACTTTGATACCAAAGTTCTGATTCTCTGTGGCAGTTAAGAACGTAGGCTCTAGAACCAACTGTCTCGATTTGAATGAGTTGATATAAGTGAGTCATTTATCATACTCCCTGATATTTTATGAATGTTAAAAAATGTTAACCATGTTTAATTATGAATGATAATGAAGAGCATGAGCATTCCATTGAAGAAAATTTTGATTATTCTGTATAGGAAGATTGTATTATTGCTGCCTTGTTTCTAAACTCTGAACTAATAGAAACTGAGAAGGAACATCAAAAGTACCACTGGGAAAAAAAAAAAAGTACCACTGATAATCCACAACTTTCTAGTATACAGTACTGCTCAGTATTACATTTCTGGCTGATCACCCACAGTGTTTCTCTTGAACCTAGGATATCATTACAGTTCACCCTTAAACAACATGAGTATCACTGCATGGGTCCACTTAGATGCAGATTTTTTCAATAAATATATACAGTCCTCTGCAGTTGGTTGAATTCATGGATGCAGAAGGCTGACCATGGGACTTGAACATCCAAGGATTTTGTTAATCCACTGTGGATCCTGAAACCAGTCCCCCACAGATACCAATGGATGACTGTACATTTATAAAACTGTGCAATCTTGTAACACAAACTGCTCTTTTTTCTCTAAATATTCCTACTTGGTGTAAAAAAAAGACTGCCAGCATCAAAAAACATCGTAATCCAAATAAAGACAAAAAAACTTTTATTTTAAAAAAATGTATTCCTGAATGAGTCATTATGCTTAAAGAATTCCTACAGATTTAATGAGGAAAATATTTACACCCCTATGGAAAAGGGAGCAAAAGATACAAATACTTCGTAGAAGGAAAAGCATCAAAAAGAATAAAATATGTAGGTATAAATTGAAGAAAAGAAGTGCAGACTTATACCCAGCAAACTACAGAACACTGCTGAAAGTTTTAAAGACCTGCATAAATTGGAAAGATTTCCCATGTTCATGGATTGGAAGACTTTCTATTGTTAAGGTGGCAATACTCCCCAAATGGATCTACAAATTGAACATGGTTCCTCTCAGAATCCCAGTTGCAGAAATCGACAGGCTGATCCTAAAATTCATATGGCAGCTCAAGGGACCCAGAATAGCGAAAAAGATCATGAAAAAGAACAAAGTTGGAAGACTCACACTTCTCAATTTCACAACTTAACTTCCAAGCTACAGTAATCAAGACAGAGTGATACAGGCAGAAGAATAGACATAAATCAATGGAATAGAATTGAGAGACCAGAAATAAACAGTCAACTGATTTTCAGCAAGGATGCCAAGATAATCATGGAGAAAGAGTAATCTTTTCAATAAATGGTGCTGTGATGGGACTTCCCTGGTGGCACAGTGATTAAGAATCCTCCTGCCAATGCAGGGGACAGGGGTTCAAGCCCTGCTTCAGGAAGATCCCACATACTGTGGAGCAGCTGAGCCCGTGCACCACAACTACTGAGTCTGCGCTCTAGAGCCCACAAGCCACAACTACTGAGCCCACGTGCCACAACTACTGAAGCCCGCATGCCTAGAGCCTGTGCTCTGCAACAAGAGAAGCCACCACAATGAGAAACCCACGCACCACAACAAAGAGTAGCCCCCGCTCACCGCAACTAGAGAAAGCCCACACTCAGCAGCGAAGACCCAATGCGACCAAAAATAAATAAATAAAAATTAAATTAAATTAAAAATTTTTTTTTAAAATTGGAAAACCCCATTAAAAAAAATGGTGCTGTGATAACTGGATATCTATATGCAAAAGAATGAAGTTGGACCCCTTCTTACCGTACACAATAATTAGCTCAAACTAGATCATAGACCTGATTTTAAGAGCTAAAACTATGAAATGTTTAGAGGAAAAGATAAGAATAAATATTTTTGACCTTGGAGTAGCCCAAGCCTTCTTTGATATAACACCCAAAGCACAAGTGACTAAAGAAAAAAACAGATGAATTGGACTTCATCAAAGTTAAAAACTTTTGTACCTGGAAGGATACTATCAAGAAAGTGAAAAGATGGGCTTCCCTGGTGGCGCAGTGGTTGAGAGTCCGCCTGCCGATGCAGGGGACATGGGTTCGTGCCCCGGTCCAGGAAGATCCCACATGCCACGGAGCAGCTGGGCCCGTGAGCCATGGCCGCTGAGCCTGCGTGTCCAGAGCCTGTGCTCTGCAACGGGAGAGCCCACAGCAGTGAGAGGCCCGCATACAGCAAAAAAAAAAAAGAAAGTGAAAAGACAACTCGCAAAATATGAGACAATATTTGCAAATCATATATCTGAATAAGGATTTCCAGAATATATAAAGAATTCTTACAGCTCTTTCAACGTTAAAATATGGGCAAAAGATTAGATAGATATTTCTCCAAAGAAGATATATAAATGTTCAATAAGGACCTGAAAAGATGCTCAACATCATTAGTCATTAGGGAAGATTGGGAAATAATGGAGTACGGTAAAAATACTGATTTTTGGAATACAATAAAATACTATAGGCCATAACTGTAAAGGAATTTAGAAGAAAACTAAAGACTACAAACAGCATTTGCCTATTCCTAGAATATATTTATACCATTGTTTGCTTCCTCTACTTCATATATCCCTGTTATTCTTAATGTTATAAAGTTTAAAATGTTCTGTAATTAAAAGGTAAATAAAGAGTTACTATCTTCCTTTCTTAGATTGTATTACTTGACGTTAGGTGCGTTTTCTGCAATATATATATATATATATAACTTGAGATGTATCCAACTAGGGACCAACCTGTCAGCATGTGGGAGTCTCTTGATAAAAATCTGTTTAACCATCTCATCCTTGGTTGTTGCAGGTGACATGGCTGTATGGTATACAGCTAACAGGTTTACTCCTTGTCTGCATTCTTCAGTTTTTTAATTCCATGATTCTCGGATCATTGCTTATCAGTTTTAACCTTTCGGTGTTAATTGCAAGAAAACTTCAGGTAGGACTTTTTTTTGTCCTTAATCAGAGTAAACTTTTTTTTTTAATTGTGTGGTTGTTTAGACCTTGTTTGCATATAGTACACAAAGGAAAATTTATAACCAAATTCCTACTAAAAAGCAGTAGGGCCATTATTTGCTTTTTTTGAAGTGCATGGTATAGCATTTGTTTTCAGGCTTTCTGATCTGCCATTCCTTTGTTTTGACGTTTATTATTTCTTAGAAAATTGGAATCTTAATTAAATTCAGGATTAGCCAGAGATACTTGGTTGACTGCCATTGGTTTAAAATTGGAATAAAAGAGAAAAAAATGTTGACTTTTTTCATGTGTGAACTCAAGAGAGAGAAGAACATATTGCTTGTGGAAATATGTTCGTCACAGTCTTTAAAGTTGGTGGACACCTTGTTATTGGAAGTAGTAACACCACTCTTTCCCCCATCCTTCCATATCATAGTATTGATTTTTAAGTGAGTTAAAATTAACTGTTTTGAGAGTTTTGAGATTCCAAATAAATACCTTTAGAAAAAAAAGGGACATTTCCTAGAATAACATGTTTGACATTGGCCTCATCTTTTGACTTTTATTATATAATTAAAATCTCTTAAATTTACATAAAGTTGTTTTTCCTTAATAATATTGCAAAGCCTGTTTTCTGTCTTATAAGCATATGAGAAACATTTCTCACAAGCACTTTTATATCAAGAAGCTGTTTTGTTTTCCATTTTGGGAAGAATAAATATGTTTTGTTATTAGTCTCTTGAGTGAGAGCTGCTATGGACAGATCTTCACAAAATTTTTAAAAACAGGCTTTTAGTTGACTATTAAAAACTGTACTTCTCATTTATCCTTTTAACCTTAATTATAAATAAACATCACTCATATTTGAACTGTTTAGATATTATATTTGATAATCCATAAAGTTATTCGAGGGTTATAAGAAAACTATTATGTATCAAAGAGCACAATTTACTTTTTTTATATAGGTCTTTTATTTAATGGGTTATAGTCTGTGATATATGAATCAGTGGATAAAAAGATGAATCAGTGGATCAAGTTCAGTCAGTATATGCTGAGTACCTTCTAAGTGGCTGACTCCATACTCTGGTTGAAGAGGTCTTTAAAAAAAAAAAAAAATGGACTAGGACACATTTCCTCATCATATGGAGCTTATTATTAAGTGATTCATTTACTATTAGAAAAAGACAAATTTTAAGACAATGTAACCTCATGAAAATTAGGTTATATTTTCCCTATATGTTGTGTGACCCAGTGTTTTAAATTCTTAAGTAATCTCATCTTAAATGTTTATGAAGTTATATTAAAATTAAAAAATTGAAACTCAACTCTTTTAATTTCTAGAAAAACCTGAAAACTGGAAGCTTCCTTAATAGGCTTGGGAAACTATTGTTACATTTATTTGTGGTTTTATGTTTGACACTTTTTCTCAACAACATTATTAAGGTAGGTTAATAAAATGACGTATTTAATTTAGCATTACTAAAGAGTTACCAGTTTTACTTTAAACAGACTCGGTTTTACCTTTGTTTCAGTAACGGGATTATTTTCTTGATTTTAGTCCTTGATTTCTATTTGCTCTTAACATGTTCTACTTTGAACCCACCTTTTGAGTTATTAAACTTTTTAAAAACTCAGCTTTAAAAGCATTAAACAAGTATTTCTCTAAATTTAAAGCTTCTACTTTTTAGAGCGTTTTCTGTACTATGGTACTAAAAAAAAAAATGACATGATTTTTATTGGGGTAAGTTCATAAATAAACTGGGTTTACTGTCGGAACCACATTGAGATGATTTCGCCCCTCTGGGAAGGCTGGTGTCAGGACAGAAGACAGCTGCATGTACAAGACAGACTTCTGTAAGAGAATGGCAGTCCCTCTCCCTGTCTGTTGACTGTCAAAGAATAAACAGACCCTTCACTCAGTCAGCCACATTAAACACCTCCACTCCAGGTCCTTGTCACTATTTTCTTAAACTCCATATAGTTCACTACTTATCAAAAACTTATTTGAGGGACTTCCCTGGTGGCTCAGTGGTTAAGAATCCACCTGCCAATGCAGGGGACATGGGTTCGAGCCCTGATCCGGGAAGATCCCACACGCTGCGGAGCAGCTAAGCTTGTGCGCCACAACTACTAAGCTTGCGCTCTAGAGCCTACGAGCCACAACTACTGAGCCAGAGAGCCACAACTACTGAGCCCGCATGCTGCAACTACTGAAGCACATGCTTAGAGCCCGTGCTCCTCAACAAGAGAAGCCACCGCAATGAGAAGCCTGCACACCGCAACAAAGAGTAGCCCCCGCTCGCTACAACTAGAGAAAGCCCACGTGCGCAACAAAGACCCAATGCAGCCATAAATAAATACAATTTATTAAAATAAAAAACAAACCTTATTTGAGCAGAACAATCAGCATTTCTGAAAGACTGGCTGAAAGATATGCAGTCCATCCATTTCGCCACTCTACATGTTCAGTTATCTGTGCCTGGATTAAGCCAGGAGAGAGCTACTTGTCTGGACCACTGTTTTTCGACTCCCCAAAGAATAATGCCTATTGAATTGTACTTGATGTTCTGCCAGCTACCTACAATTAGAAGAATTTTAAAAAATAGTCTTTGAGACTGTTTGCTGTTTTTACTGTACCCATGGGGAAAATTTCTCTTGAGTCTCAGTTTTAGGATTATAAGGATGTCTCTTGAGCAACTGGTTTGTTTTAATCTTATGACCCTGTGAGTAGCATAAATGCTTTTATTTCCCTCTTTGTATTTGCTACTAGAATGCATGAGCCCAGATTTGTGGCTCATATCTACTGAATATATTTTGTGTACTAACCTCAGTTCTGGATTAATCTTATTTTCTTTTCTATCGTCATTTTTCTTCTGATACAATTTTTTCACCCATTTATGTTATATGAATTTTTGTAAGCCATAAATTAAAAATAAAATAATGTGAATTAAAATTATACTCACTAATGATAAACACTGGCATTTGTCTCTTCACCCCTTGAGGATTATTGCTGTGTCTTGAATTGTCTTTGAAAGAATGAGTCTTATATCAGTTGTATCTGCAGACAGAAAAACCCAAAGCAAAATAGGCTTTGTGGGCTGTGTTCCTATTTGAGGTTTCAGATCATGATATTATCAGTTTTCTGATTTTACACTTTTTTTTTTTTTTTTTTGCGGTACATGGGCCTCTTACTGTTGTGGCCTCTCCCGTTGCGGAGCACAGGCCCAGCGGCCGTGGCTCACGGGCCCAGCCGCTCCGCGGCATGTGGGATCTTCCCAGACCAGGGCACGAACCCGCATCCCCTGCATCGGCAGGCGGACTCTCAACCACTGCGCCACCAGGGAAGCCCAGTTTTCTGATTTTAAAAGTTGTACTCACTGGGCTTCAGCTGTCTCCCTCTCCCTGAAACCAAAGAACCTCATCTTTTATCTATTTTGCATGTTGAACTTATGCCTAGATTTTGTTTGCAAAAACGATTCTGCTAAAAAAAAAAAAATAGGAATGGAGGGTGTTTGAAAATCCCTGCTTTTGAATGAAATAATGCCATTTGCAGCAACATAGAGGGATCTAGAGATTATCATACTAAGTGAAGTAAGTCAGAACAAGGAAGACAAACACCATATGATATCACTTATATGTGGAATTTAAAATATAATGCAAATGAACTTATTTACAAAACAGAAACAGACAGATATAGAAAACAAACGTAGGATTACCAAAGGGGAACGGGGTTGGAGGAGGGATATACTAGGAGCTTGGGATTAGCAGATACATACTACTATATATAAAAGAGATAAACAACAAGTTCCTACTGTAAAGTACAGTGTACTGTATTCAATATAAACCATAATAGAAAAAATATATATGTATAACTGAATCACTTTACTGTACACCAGAAACTAACACAACATTGTAAATCAACTATACTTAAAAGAATTTTTTTTAATGAAAAAATCCCTGCCTTAGAATTTCTCAGTTCTAAGACCTATTGTAAACATTTACTAATTTTACACATACACACACATACAGTCCTATGAAATGGAGCGCTGAAGATGTGTATTCAATGGGAAATTATCAGAAAACCATGCATAAAGAACTGATAGCAATTTTTATTTTCTCCCTCCCCGATAGAAAATTCTTAACCTCAAGTCAGACGAACACATATTTAAATTTCTGAAAGCAAAATTTGGATTTGGAGCAACAAGGTATGACTGAATTTTAAGTCTGTGTTTGCTTTTTATATTAAATCAGCAGGGTCTTTAAAATGTAAGTTATCAGTTCTTAATTTCAGGCTTATTTTGAGGAAAAGTTGGAGGTTTACTTATCTTGTACTTGAATTTAATACTTTGCTTTCCCTTTGTTTCCTAGAGATTTTGATGCAAACCTGTATCTGTGTGAAGAAGCATTTGGCCTTCTGCCTTTTAATACATTTGAAAGGCTTTCAGATACTCTGCTTTTTTATGCTTATATATTTGTTCTGTCCATCACCGTGATTGCAGCATTAGCTGTTGCCCTCCGTAATCTCAGGTATGGCATATTTCAGAAATCTAATTCTGTGCTTTAATGAACTTGTTCTGTGTTGCAGAAAAATTGCTAAATTGAAAATCAAAACATCAGATACAGAACAGAGTACAGTCATCTTAAAGGGGGAACGTACCCAAGTTAGCGTGGACTGTACTCTCAGTTGGTAAGGGTGGAGTAGTTAAGAGACCGTAAAAAGTAGTAGATGCCATGCCAGGTCTGGGTTGAAGTCCTGGCTCACATACTTGGGAACAATGTGATCTTTGAGCCAGTTACATAACCCTTCATTATTTCCATTTCTGTAGAATGAGAGCACTAAGAGTACTTACTCTACAGGGTTTTGTGAGAAATAAATAAGTGAAAATTACATGAAGTACTTAAAGCAGTGCCTCATGCGTAGAGTATATTGTGTAGATTTTAGCTGTCATTAGCAAGTGTTATTATTGACTTGTAGTCTCTCTGTTTTGTTCCCATTCTTAATTTCCTGTGTTTTTCTAGCTTTCTTTCTCCAGCTGCCTTTTTTATTTCTCATGAACTGTCAAGAATTAACCATTGTTTATTTGTTTTGTTGCATCTTGTTCAAGGGCTTATAAAGTTGGAATGGACCATAATTATTAGCATGTATTAGTTAACAGTTTTTTAAAACTTAGCATGTCTGCTAATCTACTTAAAAGAGAAAGTCAGGGAGTATGAAGAATACCTACCTATCAAGCTGATGGAGGTTTTTGCATTTACTATCCATGTTAAATTGAAAGAAGATTAAGTGTAAGAAGTTGAAGCTACTGTCATTTGTGGAAAAGTAATGAAGCCCAGAAGGAAGCCCTTTTCCTGTGTAGTTACCTTGCCAATTAAGGTGCTGGTGAGCTGTGATTCGCAGCCACTGGAGAGCTGTGCTGGGAGAAAGTCATTACAATGAGCCCAGATCAGTTGAGGTGTTTTATGATTATTAAGAATGAAGCAACATTGAACCATGAAGCTATTTCATTGACTATAAACTATTTTAGTATCTTTCAGAAGTGTTCTTTTTATACCAACTCCAAGATAAAAATTTAGCCCCATGAAAATAGATGGAAATTATTCTAGACAGTGTAACTTAGTATTATTCCAGACACACCAGGTGTCGACAGGACTCTAGACAGCATGCAAAGCAGGAAGTTCAGTTGGCCTGCAGTGTTGTGTGAAAATGTCTGCCATGCTCAGCATGAATCTATGGGCCGTCCTTGGAAGCTTATTTGGTATATGATTATAGATAAAGATTTTACCAGGTAGGGATATTAGGACTTTATTAGAGGAAAGCACTACATTAATTAAAGTCATTTAAGAATTATAGTGTCTCAGCGTGAATTAACGTCTAAGTAATTTGAAGGATATATTATCAATGCCAAGTATTTAAAGTATTTCTACCTTCTTGTACTAGGAAGGACAGTACCATTACGTTTATACACCACATCTACATTAGTGTGTAGTATATAACTGAAAAGGATACCCTGTTCTATGCTCAAGGGATTAATAGAGCTTTCCAGCTCATTTGCGGGCACCGGGAGAGGTGTTGCAGAATTCTCCCAGGTATCAAGGGAGGATGAGAGGGTATGTTCTTGTCTGGAGTAATCTTTTAGTATCAATGGAAGCCAGAGTTTGGGTTGTGATATATAACGTTTAAGTAAAGATTATCACCAGTGGTGAAAATTACCATAGAGTATCATTTTAATTTTCTTATGTATCTAGGGTGGTGAAAAAGAGGACTTCCAGGAAATAATACGTCTATAGTTACACGGAAGCATTGTACATATCCAAGTCTATTGGACTTGTGTGAAGGATAAGTGGGGCCTTTACAGAAGTATTATTTTTATCCTAAGCTGGCAGCCCTTACTGTTGTTTCCTTTTCCCCTTGACAACAAATTGTGCAAATCTGAACCCACTCATCCATCTCAACATCATTCCAGTGGGGACAACCAGACAGTACATGCTTCCCAATGTGATGCAATATGGAATACATCATATCCCCATGAAGTGTACTTGCCAAAATAAATGAACTTGACTCTAATAATTAACCTCTAGATCTAATTACAAGTTTGTAAGAAACATGGGAATAGAGAAATATATTAAATGGCACCACGAGGAGACAATCGGCCAAATCCAGAAGGTAGGAACAGTTATAGGACAAATTATGCATTTTCTTCAATGAGTAAATGCCCTTAAAAGTGGGGAGGGGGGAGTACTTATATTGATTGAAAGGTAATTTAAAGAGACATTGATGAAATGCAGTATGAAAGCTTTGGATCCTCATTCAAAGAAACCACCTGAAAAAAGCTATTGCAGTAAATAGAAAATAGAACATGAACTGGGTGTTAGATGATGTTGAAGGGTTATTGTTAATTTTATGGGTGCAGTCATCTTAATGTAGCCATATTTGATTTTTTAAATCAAGTTAGGGTACTTGCCTGGTGACGCAGTGGTTAAGAATCTGCCTGCCGATGCAGGGGACACGGTTCGAGCCCTGACCTGGGAAGAACCCACATACCGCGGAGCAACTAAGCCCGTGCGCCACAACTACTGCACCTGCGCTCTAGAGCCCGCAAGCCACAATTACTGAGCCAGTATGCCACAACTACTGAAGCCTGTGTGCCTAGAGCCTGTGCTCCGCAACAAGAGAAGCCACCGCAATGAGAAGCCCGCAAGCCGCAACGAAGAGTAGCCCCCACTCACCGCAACTAGAGAAAGCCCACGCACAGCAACAAAAACCCAGTGCAGCCAAAATTAAATTAATTTTAAAAAAATCATGTTAGTTATATGTAATGAGGTATTGTGGTAGGTTAAAAATGTGATCATTGGTTCGTAAAGGAACTGAATTCCAAGTTTCTGGATACATTTTTACTTATTTGTAAAAACTAGAAAAATATGAGTAACTACTATGGCATCTCTAAAGATCTCTTGTAGTTTCAGTGATTCCAAAATATTTTTTTTGCTATCTCTTATAATTTAACGGATTGAAGGACTTTAAGGTTTTGCTTAAATTAAAATGAAATTTGTTCAATTTTAGTTACTCTAATTATTAATGCATTTATATTATGACACTTTTAGCCTCATAAACAAATTCAAAATTGATCAGAGCTGATTCACTTTATCTTAGGGAAATAAAACATTTCTAAATATATGAAGGCATAGGTTTCTTTTTTTTTTTTTTAGTTATTATTTTTGGCTGCATTGGGTCTTCGTTGCTGTGCACAGCCTTTCTGTAGTTGTGGCAGGCGGGGGCTACTCTTCGTTGCGGTGTGTGGGCTTCTCATTGCTGTGGCTCCTCTGCAGAGAATGGGCTCTAGGCACGTGGGCTTCAGTAGTTGCTGCACATGGACTCAGTAGTTGTAGCATGCGGGCCCTAGAGCACACAGACTTCAGTAGTTGCGGGGCATGGGCTCAGTAGCTGTGGCGCGCAGGCTCTAGAGGCCAGGCTCAGTAGTTGTAGCTCATGGGCTTAGTTGCTCTGCAGCATGTGGGATCTTCCCAGACCAGGGCTGTAACGTGTGTTCCCTGCATTGGCAGGCAAATTCTTAACCACTGCGCCACCAGGGAAGTCCTTCTATCTTCTTCTTTAAGAAAGATTTAACTAAATTAAAATTAGTTACCCAGCTTTAATTTTTGTATATGTACTATTTTATGCAGTGATTCTACAAATCAATCCACGTATAAAATGGGAGAGTACACAATCGGCCTGAAACCAGAAACTGCCTACAATTTAATACACACGATTCTATTTGGATTCTTGGCATTGAGTACAATGAGGTATTTTTGTTTTATCTGTTTATTTTTTTATTTGACCACTCTTTACCTGACATAGTTTAGCAATATAATTTGGAAACTGATGATCATCTTCATTAATGATTATGCTTCCCATAAAAATATCCTTGTTGGGGCTTCCCTGGTGGCGCAGTGGTTGAGAGTCCACCTGCCAATGCAGGGGACACGGGTTCGTGCCCCGGTCCGGGAGGATCCCACATGCCGCGGAGCGGCTGGGCCCGTGAGCCATGGCCGCTGAGCCTGCGCGTCTGGAGCCTGTGCTCCGTAACGGGAGAGGCTGCAGCAGTGGGAGGCCCGCGTACCGCCAAAAAAAAAAAAAAAA